GTATGTATGTATGTATGTATGTATGTATGTATGTATGTAAGTGTGTCTGTAAGTTTGTATGTATCTTTACATAAATCTGCGTGTGCGTGTCTAGACCACACACTATGCTAAACTTGGTTAGGGTAGATTATATGACACCACTTACACCAGTCTACGTTACAATACACTACAGCAATGTATTGCTCTTTGAAACAAAACTCAAATATATCTCTCACGGATTAATACGCGTCTAGTAACACATTTTAATTCATCTCAGAATAAAATCACTCTTAACATTATTATAGAAACGCGTGAACCTATTCCAAGAACGAGGATATAATGCGTTAGAAGCCTTTATTAGCCATATCATCTGTTCAGACGCTATAACCGTTACTACTCTAATATAAGGGCCAGAATGCTGAATATATGTCAGCGTGGCGGCACAACCCCTACACGGTTTGTCTGGCACCGTGAAGTTGTTAGAAATATCTATTTTCGATGTCGCTTTTAAAGCACATGCGAAGGCCAAAAAAATACGCCTGTTAAACATAGTAATGTTTAATAATTTTTTTTAAATAATTTTTTTAAAATAATTTTTTAATAATAATAGGCTTTAAGAACTGACTCTTTGCCTGAACGTTTACGATTGTAAACACACACACAAATCACTATCAGCGTGAGATGAGATACGCATAGAGAGCATAACAAGTACAATATGTCTACGAATGTGCGCGATGTTGACCGTAATGCGTTTAATAACACTTGATTACTTACCTTTATGCATGCGATTTAATTTAATCACTCCGGATCATGAATCGTTGCGGAGAGTGCTCGTCACACATCTCATGAATGATGTTAAAACATGATATGAATAATGATGATAATAATGACGTATTCACGGACACGCGGTTTCACAGAACTGTCTAGAGGTTAAAATTATTTTCACGTTTAAAGTGATTACGTCGTCACCGTGAATAGTAAAAGTAAAAAGATATTTTCACTTTTTCACAAAATGTAAGTGATTCTGTTCACTTTTTATCGTTAAATTGCTGCATTGTACTTCTTATTTTACTATATTGTTCGATGTAAACATACACTCGTGACTCATACATAGCCCGTAGCAAGCAATTAATGTCAGGAACACTAATATCATGAAATATCGTCCAGGTTTTCTTTGATTTTTAACTAGTTTAGAAACAATCTTATCAGGTAAGAATTTGACGATACATTTAGTCCCGTTAGTACTTAATTTTAATGAAAAAAAATGGCAACAAACATTTTACAAAATATACACCATAGAAAATTCGTGACGTAGTCAATTTAAGATTTATTAGTGTGATTTTTTTACGTCATGATGTTTTGTAGACGGTTATCACGTGCGTCATCGCCCTCGTCATTATTTCATCCCTTATTGTATAGCTTATTTGAAAATTGAACCGATAATTTGAAAATTGCATCTACGGTTAGTTTCCGGGCTATTTGTATCCAGTCTGGATCAGAGTGTTTATATTTATATATACGTGGGGAAGCAGTATCCCTATATCATTCCCGGTGTATCTTAAACTCTCATTTTACATATTTTCGAGTGTACCTATCTACCTATTCTATATAGTGGGTCATGGCTATTGATATCCGTTTTGAAATACGGGCACTTTTTGGCTCCTAATTGGAGGAGGCTGACTGTTTATATCTATAGGGTGGACTATGCCCAGTAATTTTCGGGGGTGCAGCGTAGGCAGGCCATGGGAGAAACAGTAGATATGACAGAAATTCCTCTCTGTATACAAATGACGTCTATATAAATGAACGTATGCTTGCATTCCAAATTCGTAGACCACTTTGTAGTTCGCACCACACGACAATTCCTACTTTACCCCTCCCCGCTGTACTTTATAACTGTATACCTCCTTTTAAACACTACCCATAAGCACTTGGAGCGTTTCAATAAAATATAATGCTAAATACATACGAAATCTATTTACTACCAAAGTCTTAATACTTATCTACTCTCTTTCGCCTATTATTGCCGACAATTTCCTGTAAATGCCGTCCAAATGCTCATCTGCAACACACATGTACACCGCACGCACGCTGCCGCACTCTGACACATAAATATATAGTTATGTGTATTTATTTATAGTTATTTTCGTGCTATATATTTATGTGTCAGTGTGCGGCAGCGTGCATGCGTTGTACATGTGTGTTGCAGATGAGCATTTGGACGGCATTTACAGGAAATTGTCGGCAATAATAGGCGAATAATTTTATTGAAACGCTCCAAGTGCCTGTGTTCTCCCCATCCCCCCGACGCCTGCTCCTTCGTGATGTTAGAATGAAAGCGCGTTGCATGCATGCTCACGATTTTATTTGAGCAGTATTCCCGAGTGTAGAAACTGCACATTTGATGTTTAGTTTTCGTTTTTCATTCGAAGGAGCACATGCTTGTCCGATCGAAGTTGCTTGTACTGTTTCGTTGTACTGTTTCGCTATTGCCTAATACTATAGATGAGGATAGGCATGCTAGTAGCATAAGGGATTGTACGGGGGATGGACGGAGATGGAAAGCACGGAGGTTTCCTGAGGGACCAGGTGATTGGGATGAGTAAGTTACTGCTCACGGCGGTAAGAATGAGCACAGATTCGAGTTGCAATTTCAATCTTGTCTGTCTAACCCCCTCGGCTGCATAATTCTGTCCATTATTGGGGGGGCGTGCTGGATATACAACCTGTTTGGCCTGCATCTATGACAAATACGACATACGCATATACGCTCTTCTATGACACTATTTGTCATAAGAAGATTCTTCCTATGACAAATATTGTTGTATGGGTTGTGCGCATCATAGGAGTTTAGGAGCGCTATTATGTACGCAAGCAGTGAATTTCAGCTGTAAAGCGGAACGAAGTTGACTCGCCAATATTTGTCATAGGAAGAATATTCCTATGATTTCACTATATGACAAATAGTGTCATAGGAGAGCGTATATGCGTATGTCGTATTTGTCATAGATGCAAGCAGAACATGTTATGATATAAGAGGGTGTTTGGAGAGGGATGCCATGACGATAGGGATGCAATAAGAACGATGCTGGGAGGGGATGCTGTATACTGCAAAAGATGCAAGTGCTGGGTTCACGGAAGCTGGGAAAGCGATGCCACGAGGGATGCGGGCGCTGTGCCACAAAAGCTTGGCATGGCTTCGTCGTCGTCATCGTCGTCGTCGGTGCTGCTGCTGCTGCTGCAGCTGCTGCTGATGATGATGATGATAATGCTTTGTGACTCTTTGCTGCAGGCGGGAAGGGGGCTTCACCAATGCGGACATCAGAGCAGGGTGCTCTGTCCGTGTCAGTGCGGCGCAGGCGGTTTGAATCCTCTGCTTCCTCGGCCAGTAGCTCCCCCGGTAGCTGCATCAAAGGTACACACACCTAGTTTATCTCTTACTTCCTCACTTCCTCACTCTCTTACTCCTTCAGCCGGTAGCTTCCCCTGGTACCTGTATCAAAGATACACACACCTAGTTTACCTCTCACTCCCTTACTTTCTCACTTCCTTGCGCTCTTGCTCCTTTAGCCGGTAGCTTACCAAGTAGCTGCAGCAAAGGTACACACACCTAGTTTACCTCTCACTCCCTTACTTTCTCACTTCCTTGCGCTCTTGCTCCTTTAGCCGGTAGCTTACCAAGTAGCTGCAGCAAAGGTACACACACCTAGTTTACCTCTCACTCCCTTACTTCCTCACTTCCTTGCTCTCTTGCTCCTTCAGTCGGTAGCTTACCCGGTAGCTGTATCAAAGATACACACACCTAGTTTACCTCTCACTCCCTTACTTTCTCACTTCCTTGCGCTCTTGCTCCTTTAGCCGGTAGCTTACCAAGTAGCTGCAGCAAAGGTACACACACCTAGTTTACCTCTCACTCCCTTACTT